GAGAGAGAGAGAGAGAGAGAGAGAGAGAGAGAGAGAGAGAGAGAGAGAGAGAGAGAGAGAGAGAGAGAGAGAGAGAGAGAGAGATTTCAGCGTGGTTTGATCTTCCAGCTTTCGGCCGTAGCCATCTTCCTCTTGCTTCTTCTCACAGCTGCGATGCCCTCGTGGTCTACGAAGGCAAGGTTCTTACGTGAACTTACATCTACCCGTTGACGTCGAAGATTGTGCTCATCCTATTATATTATCTCTCCCCTCGCCTCCTTCACCGTAGTTCCACAAGCACTTATGCAGCCTAATTGTCCCCAACCAGTCAATGCAGTCAATCTACTCGTGCCTTCGTGTCAATGTCACTCGCCTGGCCATGATTGTCCCTAACCAGTGCCTCCAGTGAATCAGTGAATCTTCACAACCTTTGTGCCTCATGGCCAGCACTCGTAGGTTGTGTGGTCCCCCCCTTGCAGTAGAGGGTGGTCTACATGGGTCCGTTGCAGCAAGAGGGTGGTCTACTTGGGTCTACTTGGGTCTACTTGGGTCCGAATCGTGGCGCCAATTTCTTGCAGTGCCACACTGATGAGTGCAGCAACCTGTTATGCGTTGCACACTGTGGAAACAGAGCAATATCTGCATGCGGCACAGTGCCTTGCTTAAAAACTGCCGGTCATTATCAGGATTGAAGTCTGCAGATACATTTGCCTCAGCCTGTGCTGGTTTTATTGGAGCTTGATGACTCTAACCTTGGGGATGAGAGCAGCACAGTTGAACCCGTGTTTTTTTAAATTCACAATCAGATTGTTACGGATTAAACGTCACGTAAGATGCCCGTTATTATGAGAATGAAGTCTGCTTATGCATTTGCCTCAGCCTGTGGCGGCTCTGTTGGAGCTTGGTGACTCACCTTGGGGATGGGATCACAGATCAGTATAGTGTAAACATCACGTAGGCGATTTCCAATCGAACGATCATGTGCGGAAATGAAGCGCGATTGCTGCGGTGAGGGGTGTAGTACGTGCGGTGTCTACACTTGCATGTGGTAGTTGTGTGTGAACATCACGTAGGCGATTTCCAACTGAACAATGATGTGCAGAAAGGAGGTGTGATTGTGGCAATGAGGGGTGCAGTACGTGCGGTTTCTGCACTTGCATGTGGTAGCTGTGTCTGATGCATGCACGTCCATGTGCAGAAATGAAGCGTGATTGTGGCAGCGAGGGGTGCAGTACGTGCGGATTCTGCACTTGCATGTGGTAGCGGTGTCTGATGCATGCACGGCCGCATGCAGGATCTCGCCAGTAATTGTGGCCAGCTGGCATTAGACGTCCCGACAGTTATCCCTCAAGTTGCTGCTCTTCTGGCACCCGACAACCGCCAGCTAGTGTATAATGAATTACACTGCAGAAGGGCGTTTTGCGATTGCGTGTGCGTCGATGCAAAATAAATGTGCCATGCTCTTTTAGCCTTACATGCTTGTGATGCTTGTATGAATTCTTGGGGCACTTCTTGTCTTTGGGAGGATGTGCTTCTGACAGCTGCGAACGGTGGTGGTGGAGTAATTGATGTTGTCAACACCTCACTTCAGAATTTCATTCCTGAATTTTCAGCTACCCGTTAACCGCTTGTTGTGTTCCCTTTGGCCACTTGTCCAATGTCAAACAA